TGGCGGTCCCCCTCCACCCCCGCCGCCGCCGCCGCCGCCGCCGGAGCCAAAAGCAGCAGCAGCAGCAGCAGCAGAGCAGCAGCCGCCGCCAGAGCCTAAGAAGGATCCCGTGAGTCATTCCGAGACACCAGCTGCTGCTGCTCCTGCTGCTGCTGCTCCTGCTGCTCCTGCTGCTGCCCCTGCTGCTCCCGTTGCTGCTGCTGCTCCCCCCCCAGAATCCCCGAAAAAGGTTGCTGTCTCTATCCCCCTCAAGCAGAAGGAGCCAGCAGCAGCAGCAGCAGCAGCAGAGCCAGCAGCAGCAGCAAAGTCCGCAGCAGCAGCACCGGAGCCGGAGCCGAAGGCGGAAGCCAAAGCAGCAGCAGAGCCAGCAGCAGCAGCAGCAGCAGAGCCAGCAGCAGCAGCAGCAGAAGAGCCGGCAGCAGCAGCAGAGGAGCCGCCGGCGTCTCCGGCGACGTCGGAGGCGAGCCGCAGCAGCAGCAGCAGCAGCAGCAGCAACAGCAGCAAGCAGCTGCAGCAATCCATAATAATTCAACCTGTGGGGCCGCAGAAAGAAGGCGAAGGCCCCGAGAGCGACGGCTGCGCCGTAGCAGCAAACGAAGAGCTGGGGCTTGCTGCTGCTGCTGCTGCGCCTGCTGCTGCTGCTGCTGCTGCTGCTGCTGCTGCTGAAAGCCACAAAATTATCAAAAAATGGACTAAAGCAGCAATTCGAATTTCCAGAGTTCAAAGACTTTACTACAAATTCGCCCACGCCTTTCAACTCGGAGTCGTCAAAACGAGGGTTTACTGCGTCGCCTTCCACGACGGAGAAGACCTCGACTACGTAAACCCTAAACCCTAAACCCTAAACCCTAAACCCTAAACCCTAAACCCTAAACCCTAGACCCTAAACCCTAAGCCCTAGGGCTCCCCGGAGCCTTCAAACGCTGGTTTTTATTAGGCTGTGCGCCTCAGCCGCGAGCCGGCAGCTGCACCTGCGAGCCCCAAACCCTAAACCCTAAACCCCAAACCCTAAACCCTAAACCCTAAACCCTAAACGCTATTTTGGCGTTTCGCTGCTCGTTGGAGTTGCTTTTTTTTGCTGACAGTCGCAACTGAAGCATTTCAGAGATTTAATTTAATTTAATTTAATTTAATTTAATTCAATTTAATTTAATTTAATTTAATTTAATTTATTTAATTAATTTAATTTATTTTAATTAATTTAATTTGATTTAATTGTTTTTTTTTTTCAGATGTCTCTCCTTTCTTCGCACCGAACTGAAATTGCAAAACCCCAAAACGATTCGGAGTTTCCCAAAAGCCGAATTAACTGCAACTTCAGAAGAACAGTCCGAGTTTAATTTATTTCAATTTATTTCAATTTATTTTAATTCATTTTAATTTATTTTAATTCATTTAATTCATTTTAATTCATTTAATTCATCTAATTTCATTTAATTTCGTTCAATTCGTTGCAATTTGATTTAATTCGCTTTTATTGTCTTTTTTGTCTTTTCAATTTTCTCCTTTTTCCTCTTTTTCGTCTTTTTGCGAAATTCCTTTTTCTGCATTTTTGGTTTTCTGTTTTTATTCTTTTTTGAATTTCTGTTTTTTATTTATTTCCTTTTGTTCTTTTTACTATTTGAACTCTTAAGTGTGTTCGTTTGTTTTGTTTTTATTTTCATTTTAATTTATTTATTTTTTATTTCTCGTTTTACTTTGCTGCTTTTATCTCATTATTAAAATTCATTCTTTTCTTCATATTTGCCTCTTATTATATTCATCATAATTTTTAATTATATATTCTTTAATTTATTATTTCTTTTTTTAATCTTTTAATTTATTATTTCTTTTCATTTATCAGCATTATTATACATTTATATATTTACTTTTATTATTTATTCTTTATTATTGCTATTATGATTTATAATTGTTTATATATATATTTTTAATTTATTATTTCTTTTTCATTTATCACCATTATATTATATATTTATATATTGCCTTTTATTATTTACTCTTTATTACTGTTATTATGATATATAATTACTTCTATATATTCTTTTAATTTAATATTTCTTTTTCATTTATTATCACTGTTATACATTTATATATTGACTTTTATTATTTATTCCTTATTGTTGTTACTATGATTTATAATTATTTATTTTTATTTGCAAATTTATATTTAAACTTTTTATTTTACAATTTGTGGGTGAAATGGAGAAGAGGAAACTCTTTGAAATTATCATTTTGAGGACTTTTTTTTCGATTTTTTGATTTCTTTTTTGAATTTTGATTTAATTTTTGAAATTATTTTAAAATTTTGGATTAATTTTGCATTAATTTGATGAAAATTGCGAAGTTTCGCGGAAAAATGCAGAAATGTGAATGTTTCCTGAGCGAGCTGGCGATGATGTTTTGCAAAATACTTGAAATTGCGGTTTTGAAGGCTCTTTTTCTCGCTTTTTGGATTTCTTTTTGGAAATTAAATTCAATTTTGAAAATACTTTCGAATTTTTAATTCATTTTTGCATTTATTCCGCGAAAAACGCAGGTCGTGCTGCCCTTCGACGCCTCTTCGCCGGTGCTGCGGATTGCGGTGGTTTTGGTGATGGGCAAAAAAAACGAAAAAACCCAACAAGGCGAATTCATGCGCAGAGTTGCGGGAATTACAAAACCCATTAATGTTGAACAAACCCGAGAAAGAGTACTCAAACCCTAAACCCTAAACCCTAAACCCTAAACCCTAAACCCTAAACCCTAAACCCTGAAGCCCAGGCGCGCAGGAACGGCAGGCGCCAACGGGGAGAGATTTGCTTTCAAACGCGAGAAATGCGGACTTGTAGCGGCGCACACAGGATTTAGGGTTTAGGGTTTAGGGTTTAGGGTTTAGGGTTTAGGGTTTAGGGTTTAGGGTTTAGGGTTTAGGGTTTAGGGTTTAGGGTTTAGGGTTTAGGGTTTTAGGGTTTAGGGTTTAGGGTTTAGGGTTTAGGGTTTAGGGGGGTTTAGGGTTTAGGGTTTAGGGTTTAGGGTTTAGGGTTTAGGGTTTAGGGTTTAGGGTTTAGGGTTTGGGCTTGCTGTTCTTTTTGGCCCAAACGCCCGCAGACACTTGGGCTATCAGCGAACAGGGCTGAAATGGCGTATTCGTTTCGAACATTGGCTGCTTTTATGTATTTATTGTTTATTTATTTATTTATTTATTTATTTATTTATTTATTTATTTATTTATTTATTTATTTTTGTTTTATTTTCTTTTTTTCTTTTCAGTTGTCGGAAATAAACGCCTGGCCGCTTTACGTGCCGCAGGAGGTGATGGGCGTGGCGGCGGTTGCGGACCCGACGCTGGTTGGTGAGAAGTGGAAATGGATTTCAAAATAAACAAAAAAAGAACAAAAAACAAACAAAAAACAAACAAAAAACAAATAAATGACAAATAAATAACAAATAAATGATAAATAAACCATTAATAAATCATAATTGAGCTTTTAATTCAATAAAATAAACTTTTTTTCGCAAAAATTGAACAAAATTCGAAAAAATTCCAACACAAACTCGGCTGTACCTTCTTGAATCTTGAGTGCCATTTCTTTCTTTTCAAAACCAATTCATCTTTTTATAATTCTGATTTCTATTTATTTATTTATTTATTTATTTATTTATTTATTTATTTATTTATTTGTTTGTTTATTTATTTATTTGTTTGTTTATTTATTTATTTATTTATTTATTTGTTTGTTTGTTTATTTATTCATTATTTGCGAATTAGTACACAGCATATTCTTTGCTTATTTCGCCTTTATTTCTCTTGCGCGTTAATTTGTCTTTTATCTTTTCTTTTTATTTTTTCAATTTTTACATTAAAAATAATTAAAAATAATTCAAAATTCGAAATTAATCATTTATTAATCTTTAGTTGCCATTGACTGCCATTAAACTGCCATTAAACTGCCATTAATTGCCATTAAATTATTTTTATTTTTTCAATTTAAAATTTACTTTCAGGCGCTGTCTTCCTCACCCTAAAAGGATTCTCCGGCGGCGAAGGCCCAGACTTAACTCCAGAGAAAGTCTTGAGGTGAATTAATCAATTTGATTAATTAAATTAATTAATTTAGTTAATTTAACTAATTAATTTAATTGATTTAATTAATTTAATTAATTAATTTAATTAATTTAATTAACTTTATTAATTTAATTAATTTAATTAATTTGATTAATTAATTAATTTAATTAATTTAATTAATTAATTTAATTAATTAAATTGATTTGATTGATTTAATTAATTTATTCGATTCAATTTAATATAATTAATTTAATTTAATTAAATTTAGTTTAGTTGGTTTAATGTAATTTAATTATATTTCCGCTTTATCTTTTCGGCTTTATTTCTTTTTTGAAATTGGCCGTGGCCTCTCCATTTGTGGACTTCAAATATTTTTTGTTTTTGAAATAAAACAAACAAAACAAACAAAACAAAACAATACAAGAAGTAAACAAAATAAATAAAACAAATAAAACAAATAAAACAAATGAAACAAATAAAACAAATAAAATTAATTAATTAATTAATTAATTAATTAATTAATCAATTAATTAATTAATTAATCAATTAAAGTGAATAAAATAGACAAAATAATAAAACAAATGAGGCAAAACTACTTTCTATTCTGTCACCTAAAGAGTTCTTCTGAGCCTTTTTCTTTTTAAATACTATTCAATTAAAACGAACTTTCGCAAACTTATTTGCATTTAAGTAAATAAATAAAATATGTTTTGCATTTAAATAAATAAATAAATAAAAAAATAAATAGTTAATTAATTAATTAATTAATTAATTAATTAATTAATTAAATTAACAATAAACAAATGACATTTTGCATTTAAATGGTATGAAAAAGTAAAAAGAAAGAAAGTGTGGGGCCAGTCTGTTGGTTTTGCTGCAGCGCGTCGTACGACTTTTCTGGCGGCCCTGCTGCTGCTGCTGCTGCTGCTGCTGCTGCTGCTGCTGCTGAGTCGAAGAAGGCCGCAGCAGCAGCAGCAGCAAAAGAGCAAAAGACCCCTTGGTACGAGTTTCTGAACCCGTTCAAAGCGCGGAAAAAAGAAGCAGCAGCAGCAGCAGCAGCAGCAGCAGCAGCAGCAGCAGCAGCGAAGGCTCCGGGTGTACGTACACTCGACTCCTTCGCGCTGCTGCCGCAGCCAGAAAAACACAAGTCCATTTATTTAAAACTTTTGGCTCCCCAAAAAGCCCAATCAACTTCAAGTCCAAACATAGAGTTGCATGCAATTAAATCTTCAGAGCAGCAGCAGCAGCAGCAGCAGCAGCAGCAGCAGCAGCAAAAGGCGCCGGTGGACACAGCAGCGCTGCTGCCCCCCAGCAGCAGAACCAAGGCCAAGGTAGTTGTTTTTCTTTTCTCTTTTTCTCCTTTTTTAATTCTTTTTGTTTTATTTTTATTTATTTTCTTTTCTCTTTTTCTCCTTTTTTGATTCTTTTTGTTTTATTTTTATTTATTTTCCATTCAAGTTTGTTTTTGCTTCTTTTGCGTTTCTTTTGCTGCTCCTAATGAGCCCTTTCAGCAGCAGCAGCAGCAGCAGCAGCAGCTCTCTCTGCTGCTTCTGCTGCTGCTGCTGCTGCTGTTTTAATTAATTAAAATTAAAAAGAAATTTCAAAATTAATTTTAATGAATTTATTTTTAATTGGATTTGGACCAAAATAGACTTCGTGGAATTCAAGTTTCCTTTAAATCCTTTTTTCTTTTTTCTTTTTATTTATTATTCGTTTTTTATTTTATCTAATTCATCTATTACTTTATTATTTTATTTATTTATTTATTTTATTTATTTTATTCATTTATTTATTTTATTTATTTATTTTATTTATTTATTTTATTTATTTATTTTATTTATTTGTCTGTTTGGCTGCAGCCGAAGGCAGCGGCGGGCCCCCCGCCTGATCCAGCAGCAGCAGCAGCAGCAAAACAAAGCAAAGCAGCAGCAGCAGCAGCAGCAAAAGACCCAGCAGCAGCAGCAGCAAAGGACCCAGCAGCAGCAGCAGCAGCAGCTGGGAAGAGCAGCATTTTGGCCTCGCAGTTTGCTGCTGCCTCCAGCGCCCCACCTAAGAAGCAAGGTGCTGCTGCTGCTGCTGCTGCTGCTGCTGCTGCTGCTGCTCCGGGCAAAGAAGCAAAAAGTATAAATATAAATAAAAGTTTAAGTTTAAAAAAAGAAGCAAATGCAGAAAGTGCTGCAGCAAAAGAGACTCTAAAGCGGACCGTCACGGCCAAGTCCAGTGCAGCAGCAGCAGCAGCAGAAGAAGCAGCAGCAGCAGCAAAAGAAGCAGCAGCAGCAGCCACCAAAGCAAGCAAAGCAGCAGTGCCGGCAGATGCAGCAGCAGCAAAACAGAGCAAAGCAGCAGCACCGGGAGCAGCACTTAACCAGAGCAAAGCAGCAGCAGCAGCAGCAAACCAAAGCAAAGCAGCAGCAGCACTTAACCAGAGCAAAGCAGCAGCAGCACTGAACCAGAGCAAAGCAGCAGCAGCACTGAACCAGAGCAAAGCAGCAGCAGCAGCAGCAAAGCCAAGCAACACAGCAGCAGCTGCAGCACCAAGTCAGAGTAAAGCAGCAGCAGCAGCAGCAGCAGCAAAACCGAGCAAAGCAGCAGCACCTCCTGCAATAGCGATAAACCAGAATAAAGCAGCAGCAGCAGCAGCAAAGCCGGGAGCAGCAGCAGCACCAGCAGCAGCAGCAAGCCCGAGCAAAGCAGCAGCAGCAGCAGCAGCAGGCACTCCAAAGACGAAATCAACAATGCCAGACAGCAACAAAGCAGCAGCAGCAGCAGCAGCAGCAGCAAATAATAAAGCAGCAGCAGAAGCAGCAAAGACGCGGGTTTTATCGAAGGGGATTTTGGCGCAGCAAGCGGCGAGAAAAGCAGCAGCAGCAGCAGCAAAAAGCTAAAGGATTTGTCCATTCATTTATTATTTATTTATTATTTATTTATTATTTATTTATATTTATTTATATTTATTATTTAAACTTTTATTTATTTATTTCTTTCTTGTTTAAATGCCATTTAACATTATTCAGGCTTGCTGCTGCCATTCAACTTTTTGTCTTGGTGAAACGCGAACTCGAACTTTAAAAACTTGAAAATAAAAAAGAAAAGAATTAAAAAGTAAAAACTATTTTAAAATTAATTAAATAAAACAAAAAAGATTTATTTGAACTTTCTGGAAAACTCAAAAAGCCGAAAATTCCAAAACGCAAATCGGAATGGCGATCCGGAAGCTGCTGGGGTGTACGTACACCTGGTTGTGCACGGAAAAGACGAAAAGTTGAATTTCGAATTTGAAATTAAATTTTGATGAAAATAAAAAGAAATTAAAAAGAAAATGAAGTGGAGGAAGTTTGGAATTAATTTGGGACTTTATTGGAGTCAAAAAGTGGAGAAAAGTGCCAAAAAAGAAAAAAAAAAAAAGAGCTGCTGCGCGCGCGAAGTTGAATTTCTTGAAACGGTGGAAAGCGGAAGTTAAATAGATGAAACGGAAAAGAATTGAAATTAAAAAAGAAATTGTTTTTAAATCTTTTTTATTTTAAAACTTTAAAAAAGGAAATTGTTTTTAAATCTTTTTAATTTTAAAACTTTCAAAGTGCTGCTGAGCAAAGAAGCGGTGTTAGATCACTTCATTGTTGGGTTCTGCTGCGCTGCAGCAGTGGACCACAGCAGCAGCAGCAGCAGCAGCAGCAGCAGCTGCTGCTGCTGCGGTCTGCTGCTGCGGAGCCCCAGAGTGCTCTTGGGCGGAATTTTTCGGATAATTCGAAATGAAATTTGAAAATGAAAAGTAAATTTGAAAATAAAAAAGAAAAGAAGAAAAAAAGTAATTCAATTATTGCTGGTTTGCAGATTTTGAGGCCAAGACAGGAAAGCTGAATGGTTTGGTCTTGGCGGCGCAGCGGTCCAGCCCCCCGCGCAGCTGCGAGTGGCGCGAACTGCAATTTGAATTTGAATTTGAATTTGAAATTAAAATTAAAATAAAAGAAATGAAAAGAGAAACGAAAAGGGGCTTTTCCAAACGAGGGTCTGGGGTGTATCGACACTTCAAAGCCGGGGGGAGGTGGTGAGGGGCGGCGGCTGCAGCTGCGCCGCGCCGGGGCTGAACAGCGGCGAATTGTTTTCATTTTTCTTCTTTTTGCGTTTAATTCTTTTCAATTTGTTTACTTTTATTAAATTGTTTGATTAATTCTGCATTTGCAGCATTTGAATTGCTGGACTTGCGCTGCGGCGCCCCCAGCCGCCGCCGCCGCCCCCCGCAGCCGACGGACCCCGAAAGCAGCAGCTTCTGCTTTTCTTTTCTTTTCTTTTCTTTTCTTTTTCTTTCTTTGAAATCCAAATTGTTTTTGCTTTTCAATTTAGCCAATTAAAGAAGCAAAAGCCGGCAGCAGCAGCTGCTTTCGTTGCTGGCTGCTGCAGCAGCAGGACCGCTGCTGCTCTGCAGCAGCAGCAGCAGCGCCGAAAACAACGCCATTTCGCCCCGATTTTCTCTTTTTTTGAATTTCTTTGACTATTTTTGCAAATTAAAATCAAAAATAAACAAAAAAAACCTTTTAAAGGACCCCCAGACCTCTCTGGCGAAGCTCCAGCCTCAAAATGCGGCTGCAGCTTCCGGAAATTCCGCAGCTGCCGCCGGCGCAGCAGGTGATCTTCCGAATTAAAAACAAAAAAGACTTTTAATTAAAATTAAATTCCATTTTGAGTCATTTAAACACAAAAACCATTAAGTACACGCTGCCCCCTCCCCTCCAAACCCCAAAACACCTTCCTGCTGCTGCCGCTGCTGCTGCTGCTGCTGCTGCTGCTGCTGCTGCTGCTGCTGCTGCTGCTGCTGTTGTATCCGTCGGCAGGAGCCCGAAAGGCCCCCCAGAAGAGACCCCAGCCCTCTGCGAAGTCCTTCTGTAAATGTCCATCAAGAAGTAAATAAATAAACAAATAATTGATTAATTAATCAAGCATTTAACTAACAATTAATTAATTAAATTAATTAATTAATTTAATTAATTTAATTAATTTAATTAATTTAATTAATTAAATTAATTAATTAGTTAATTAATTTATATTTGCTGCAGCGGGCCCCGCGGCGGGAGCCTCTTGTGCACGGCGGGTCATTTCTGATAGAAACAACAGGTGCAGCAGCAGGCTTTGCTGCTGCTGCTGCAGCGCGGAATTCTGCTGCTGCTGCTGCTGCTGCTGCGCGGAGTTCTGCTGCTGCTGCTGCTGCTGGCATGTCTCGCAGCTCGAGTCCTCTGTCTCGGCCTTGTGCTGCTTCTTCTTTTTTGAAATCTGTAAATTCTTTTAATCTGAAAAGTTCTTTTTTCAACTGCTGCCAAGAAAGCAGCAGCAGCAGCAGCAGCAGCAGCAGCAGCTGCTGCTGCTGCACCCCCGCGCGCCACAGCACCTGTCCAGACACCGCAAGCGCCTTCGCAGACACTTCCACTCCTCCGGAACTTTCGGACTTTTCTCATTTTCAAATAAATCAAATTTCTCCAGAAGTTCCATTTAAAAGATATATTCCTCCGAATTACTTTGAAGACACGGGCTACTGGAGCCAGCCTCCTGCTGCTGCTGCTGCTGCTGCTGCAGCAGCAGCAGCAGCCACGCCCACTGCTGCAGCAGCAACGCCCACTGCTGCAGCAGCAGCGCCGCCCCAGCAGCAGCACGAGCAAAGGCCCTTCACCCCGAAACAGCGAACGTTTCAGCAGCAGCAGCAGCAGCAGCAGCAGCAGCAGCAGCAGCAGCAGCAGCAGCAGCAGCAGCAGCAGCAATTTCCCGAAAGAACTGCTGCTCCCGACTCGCTGCTGCCAGTTGTGGGGCGCAGCATTGGGCTGGATGTACACCGCAGTTTGCCGCCAGTTCAAACTCGGGTGTACGGAGGCCTCGGAGAAGTTTCGGGTTTGTTATTTCATTTTATTTATTTCATTTATTTATTTATTTCATTTTATTTATTTTATTTATTTATTTCATTTTATTCATTTTATTTCATTTTAATTCATTTTGTTTCATTTTAATGCACTTTGTTTCATTTTATTTCATTATATTTCAGTTCATTTTGATTTATTTTGTTTTCTTTTATTTTGTTTCATTTTATTCATTTTATTCATTTTATTTCATTTTATTTCATTTTATTTCATTTTATTTCATTTCATTTTAGTTTTTCATTTTATTTCATTTTATTCATTTTATTTTATTTTGTTTCATTTAATTTTATTTTATTTTATTTCATTTTATATTTTATATTATTTCATTTTATTTCATTTTATTTCAGTTTATTTTATTTAATTTCATTTTATTCATTTTATTTCATTTTATTTCATTTTATTTATTTATAATCCATTTCTGTTTTCAGTTTCGGATTTATATCATTTGGAAATAAAGCATTTGTTTGATTAAATTACTCTTTTCATCCGCGAAATGCAGCAACAGCCGGTTTTAGGGTTTAGGGTTTAGGGTTTGGGGTTTAGGGTTTAGGGTTTAGGGTTTAGGGTTTGTGGGTGCGTGCGTTAAGCCGTGCGGGACGAAAGCCGGACGATGTTTAGCCGGCAGCGGGCGGAAGCAGCAGCAGCAGCAGCAGCAGCAGCAGCAGCAGCAGCAGCAGCAGCAGCAAAAGAAGTTGTTGAAACTGTTGTTCCGAAAACAAAAGTGCAGCAAAGAATTAAATACGTCGATTTAGAGTTTGTCCAAAACCAACAAAAATTCGTCGAAGTCCCCGAAGTCTTCTACAGCGACGTCATTGTGGAAGTCCGCGCAATTAAATATAAACATAATTTGCAAATTAATTAAATAATTAATTAATTAACTAATTAATTAATTAATTAATTAATTAATTAATTAATTAATTAAAATGTAAATAAATTAAACTATAAATATAAATACAAATGTATCAATGCAAATATAAATATGAATATAAATATACATATAAATATAAATATGAATATAAATATAAATATAAATATAAATATAAATATAAATATAAATACAAATATAAATATAAATATAAATGTAAATATAAATATAAATATAAATATAAATATAAATATAAATATAAATATAAATATAAATATAAAAGCATAAGAATAACCGTATTTGAATTTGCATTTAAATTTAAATTTAAATTTAAATTTAAATGCAAATTTAAATTTAAATTTAAATGCAAATGGAATACGACTTTGTTTCTTTTTATAGCGCGTTGCTGCAACTCGAAAAAGGAAAAAATAAAAACTGAATTTAAAACACAAATCAAAGAAAACAAAAGAAAAGAAATGAAAGTTTTGAAGCAAAAAGAAAAGAAATAAACATTTTGAAGTTCAAAAGAATTAATTTGTTTTCGAAATGCGGGCTTTCCAGTGTCTGCAAGCAAATCAGAAAGGAGAAAAAGTTGTTTTTTGTTGTTTGTTTTTGCTTGAATTGCAAATTAATTTGAAATTAAATATTATTTTGAAGAAATAAAACAAAAAGAAACGAAAAAGGCGCCGAAATGAATTAAATGCCGCTTTCCACTTTTTGTGTCGCAGCTGCATGCACTGCGCCGGGGTGTACGTACAGGTGCCGCAAGTGGTGGAAGTGGTGAAAGTCGTTCCGAAAGAAGAAATAAAAGAAAACATTATTTATGTTCCGCGTTTTGAAACGAAATATATTCCGAAATATGTCGAAGTCCCCATTATTAAAATTGTCGACAGATATGAAGAAGTCCAGGAAATTCAAGAAGTCCTCAAACCAGTTCCCAAACAAACTCTCGTGGATGTCAGTTAATTTCTTTTTGTTGCAGTTTAATAAATCAATTTTAAATTGTTTTTCAAGTTTAAAATTAATAAATTCATTTTAATAAATCAATTTTAAATTGTTTTTCAAG